TTGAAAGCCAAAGTCATCTTAGAAAAAAGGGAAAAACAAAACAAAAAACAAACAAACAAGGAAGCTCCAACAAGGGGCGGAAGATAATGCAAAGTGGTAAAAAAAAGATTAGGACTTTTTTTTTTCTTTGTCTCTAAATGTTCATTAAAAATGGAAATCCCCTACTATGATTAATTCCACACAACACTTCTTTTACTCACTCTACACCCTTAACCCAGTCAACAGACCTATCGTCTGGGTACCCATAAAATATCCTCACCCAGATCTGTTAGGATGTTTCACTAACAGAAAATGCCTAATTTTTAATATTGGATTGGCCAAAAACTCTGTTTAGTTTTTCCATAAAAGACACATTTTTCATTTTCACCAATGACTTATTAATTTGGACATTTTGAGTCTGTCAGCTATCTCCTGCTATGGGATTCTAGTGAGTAGAGGCCACGGGTGCTGCTAAACACATTCCAATGCATAAGACAGCTCCACAGCAAAGAATTATTTGGTCAAGTTATCAACGGTACCAAGAAACTCTGCAAACTACTTTTGATACATTTGATCATTCACAGCACCTTCTCCATACACTGCACAAATCATTTTCTGCACTTCATTTCTATTTTTACCTTCCTTGAAATAATAAAGCATAATATGCTGAAAATGTTGCATATTTCCTTCCACCTTTAATATTAAAATGGCAGCACAAAAATTCATTAATTTTTCTAAGTTTTTTTTTAAGGCACTGCTGATATGACAGCTGTCACAATACAATCTAACAAAATTGTTTCAAATGAAGCTAAAGACAACTAAGCACTGCTAAAGCCATTGTATGGAAAAAACTAAACCAACTTTTTGGCCAACCCAATACTTTGTCAGAAACAGACATAGGCACTATACCACCTGGGGCAGTCAAGGCCTCAGGTTCTAGTAAAACAGACACATGTTGAAAATCTGCCCTGCCATGTGACCTCTGAAAGGCTAGTCAACTCCTCTAAGTCCCTGTTTTTTGTTTGTTTTTCAATCTACGATAATTATGAGTGTCTATTTCAAGGGTCCTGTGAGGATCATGTGAGATCAGATATGTAAAAGTTGGCCCAGTAAGTGCTCGGTCTCTGTTAACCATAATCATTGTAAAAATGGAGGGCACAACTCAAGATAGAATCAATCCCAGCCCCACTCTGACAACTACTGTTTCCAGCCACCTTCACCACAGGAAAAAAAACTTCTGATAATCACTAATGCCATCATCTTAAAATCAAACCCTTTCAATGCAAAAACTATAGAGATGCTGCTGTGGGTGAGTGGCGCAGGGCCACTCCAGGGGATGGCAGAGGCGGACTGGGCAGGGAGGTGATAAAACTGTTCTGCATCCTGACTGAGAGCGTTGTCATAAAATCAATGCACTGGTCAAAACTAATGAAATTTACACCTAAGAGTAACTTCTAATACATGTAAAGTAAAAATATTTTTAAAACTGCAAAGCGAAAAATAATCCAATCTTTTCTATCTTGTGAATAAATCAAACTAGTGACAAAATTGAACTTTTAAATGCCCAATATATTGTAACTGCAATATTCTATATATTATCCTACGGTTACTGTAAGGCATATCCAATTTTAGTTAGTAGCTCTGATTTATTCAGGCACAAAATGTCAATACCATAATAAACACGAGGCACTGCTTTCCTATAACAGAAGCAAAAAAACTTTGGAAATGTACCTACATCGACATTAGATATGAGTGGTACTCTCCATTTACAGGCAAAAGGGAGTTTTATGACATTTTAGGGTTGACTTCATAGATCTCTGCTTTGCTGCTTAATGAGCAGGTTACTTAATGTGCATGAGTTGCTATTCTCAATCCCTAAAAAGTAATATATAAATTGTAGACTTTAAGGATTTAATAAAGCTTAAAATAACTAGAAATGTACACATCAAGAGAGACAATCTACTTAAAAGTTGGTGCATACATTTTGCATTTTTAAAGAGACATATATACATGTTTTACTCAGAAAACAATTAATTCATAAACTGCACAATGGCAAAGGTAGAGTCCCAATACAAACACATTTTATCCCTGTCACCTCGTGGTTTCACTGCATGTAGAAGGTCTGGCCACCAAGTAATGAGCCTTTTTTTTTTTTTTTTTTTTTTTTTTTTTGCCAAGTCAAATAAATTGGAGAAGAAGAAGACAATGCGAAATGAAAACTGTGAAAATAAAAACAACCCAATGCCCTTCAGCTGGTGAAGGTAAAACAAATTACTTTATTTTCACGCAGTGAAATACTACTAGGTGATTAAAAAGCAACGAACTATTGATACTTACAAATCAAAGACGGCTCTCAATTATGGGTGAGAGAAGCTCCTCCCCCACCACCCATACTCCTCCCACCTTCCAAAAAACAACCAGCTAATACAGTAAGATTCCATTCAGATAAAATCCTAGGAAATGTAAACTTATCTAGAGTGACAGAAATCAGATTAGTGGTTCACTAAAAGACAGGGATTACAAAGGGCAAGAGGAAACTTTTGGTGGTGATAAATTATTTTGATTGGGCTGATAGTTTTCACTGATGTATACATCTAAAACACATCAAATTGCACTTTTTAAATATGTGCAGTTCATTGTATGAGAATTATACCTCAGTAAAGTTGTTTTTAAAAAAAATACCATTAAAAAAATACATCTTCTCCCTGGCTGGTGTGGCTCAGGGGACTGAGGGCCCACCTGTGAACTAAAAGGTCGCCGGTTTGATTCCCAGTCAGGGCACATGCCTGGGTTGCAGGCCAGGTCCCTAGCTGGGGGCCTGCACGACACAACCGACCAACGTATCTCTCGCACACCAATGTTTCTTTCCCTTTCTCCCTCCTACCCCTTCTCTAAAAATAAGTAAGTAAAACCAAAAAAAACAAAAAAAAAAAATCTTCTTAGCCTGGGACAGGTATACCTTGGAGATAATGCAGGTCAGATTCCAGACCACCATGATAAAGCATGTATTGCAATAAAGCAAGTCATAATCTTCCTGCTGGTGGAAAATTCTGCCATCCATTTGTAGAAAAGCAACACCTGTGAAGAGCACTAATGTGAACCTCAATAAAATGACATATACCTGTATGTGAATATCAGAAGCAATGAATATTGCACTTGTGAAATGCTGTTCTTCCTCATATTCATAGGATGTAAGTATTCAATACATAGTGCAACACTCATATGTGGCTAAATAAAAAACAACAAGGTCTTCATTATTCTTCTCCCAATTAACAGATGGAGGAAGGAGAGACAGAAAGGCTGGACAACTTGCTTAGGACAAAGAATAAATAAATGCAAGTTAATTGGTTACTGGGAAGCTGATTGACCACATTTCCAGTACAATTCTCTTAATTGCCTTCAAATTCCTAATTATTTTAAGTAAGACCAAAAGGGAGATAAAAATCTAACATACAACAACATGGAAAATGTAAAAATCGTCTGCAGTTTCTGTAATACCTTACTGATTCCTTAATTCCATCCACAGGTCTCAACCTCTGCTGATACTGGGCTGGAATCTTTTTTTCTTTTTCTTTTTCTTTTTTTTTAAGAAAAAGCTTTCCAGGTGATTTTCATGAGTAGCAATATTAAGAACTCCCAAGATAAATCAGATTCAGATTTCTCATTAAAGAAAGACAGAAGAAAGCAAGGTGCTAACAAAAGCTTTGGTAAACCATAACCCAAGGTTTTCCAAGTCAATATCAAACTGTTGAACACATGCAGGCTTTTGAGTTCAACATTTAATAAATTAAAAGTAAAAAAATATACACATAGGTGTTGCCATAACAGAAGTTACATAACAACACACCAGACTAACAAATTCTCTTCAAATTTCAGAATGCTAAATTGGCATCTTTACACCAAAGTGATGAGCTAAAAGAATTGAAAAATGTGCCACATGCGCCTGCATTTAAAACATGGAATTAACTGACAATATACTGTGAACTGTTTAAGAAGTACAAATTGAAAAGAGACCATCTCTATCTTTAGTCCGCATTCTAAATGAGTGCTCACTGCCCTTTAGGGTGCACTGTTTCAGGAAGATTCTGACTCAGTGGTTCTTAGGATGAGGTCTAAGACTGCATTTCTAACAAGCACCCAACTGACAGTGATGCTGCTGGTTGGCCCACTGCAAGGCCCTACCTAACTACAAATATGGTTATGTATAGGTTCTAGGATATAAGTGTCAAAAGGAAAAAAAGTGGCTGGTTGCGGGGTACAAAGTATACGAGTGCATGCTTAAATACTTGTATTGTCTAGCAGTGCTAAGAACCACAGAATACAGGCATACCTCATTTTATTGCACTTGGCTTTATTGCACTTCACAGGTTCTGTTTTTCTTTAACAAATGGAAGGCAAGACCCTCCACCAGCAAAATGATTACAACTTGCATTCTTTTTTGTGATCTGACAACGTGCATGATTACGGTGGTCTGGAACCAAAACCTCAATATCTGAGGTATACCTGTACTATTACTTGCCCTAGCCTAGTAGCTGTCATGGCTGATAGAACGTAAACTCCATGAAATAAAGTGTTTTTTCAATTTACTACAGCATTCTTGTGGCCTACGACACATTAGGTACTCAATAAATGTATTGAATAAATGAATGAATATATACAAACACAACCTGTATTTACGTCGCAACCCGAAAACGTTTGGGAAGGGGAATAAGTATGTAAATATAGATGTTTGATACAAATAACTGACCCAGTCGTTGTATTCCATTTTATCCTTAAAAAAATAAATGTTCCAGACCAATACTTCCAACTTTAAAACTTTAAAGCCCACGCTTCCCGCACCCTATGTTTAACATCTTTTTAATTTTTTGAAGACAATGAAGACAGGCGGAAGCACAGGGAGAACAATTCAGAAAAGGCTCAAAAATGAGAAGGGAAAAAACATACAAACATGGGAGAGACGACCAAGCAGTTCAGTTCAAGTGAAGGAACATCTTAGGTTGTCGGGAGTTCTACGTTCTTACCTATGATGGTGGCAGGGTTTGGGTTCGGACTTTTATTTGTTTTGTTAATGTCCAGGGTCACTGGTGTAGTAGTATCTAGTTGTGGAAACTCAGACTAAAGAGGCAGCAGGCTCTGAAATCACCCTTCAAAAGCTTTGGAGATTCGTACTTGGGGCTCACTTTTCCTTTCTCAAGTTCTCTCCGCGTCCTGGGGAACACTGCCGCCGCTCAAACAGAACGTCATTTGGACAGCGTCTTTCTAGGCTTGAAGCCAATTTGAAGCTACAACCAAAACTTAAGATGGCGATAAAACACTGGTCGAGGACCACGGATATCGCGACATGTCTGCCCAAAAGAAAAATGGCCTCAGCTGACGACCTCGCGTCTTTCAAGAAGGGACCAAAACAAAAATGGCGGCAAAGGCGGGCTATTCAGAGCCGGTGAACCCAGAGAATATGATTGGCAGGTGACGAATCACGGTTACCTACAGTGCTTAACAGCGGAGATGATTGAAAGAAAAATAAAACGCAACTTTCTACAGTAAAGTGTCTCTTGACAATACACAAGGATGGGAAGATTCTTCGGAATCTTCGATTGGGGAAATTATAGAAAAGACAGGTTTGAAAATAAAGGTGGCTTTTACAATGTCGGATAAATTTTAAAATAGCCATAAACATAATTTCCTCAATAATTCCTTAGAATGGTAGAGGAGATAAAAGTTCTGTCCTCCAACTAACCAGCAAAACTTTAGGTAAGGACCGAAGGCAGTGACTGGTGAGGGACTAGCTTGCACTGCGCATGCCCCCTTTCCAACCCAATCCCGAGAGTTGGTGAAAAGTCCTTTTCTCCTGGTTTTCATGGCAACCGTAAAAGGAGGGGAATTGGCGCTGATCGACAGAATCAGGAGCTTTGTGATTGGTCAAATCAGGGACGCCTGAGAAGCTTGGATTTTTTTTTTTTATTCGTTAGGTAAGTGCGTCTAAAACACACACTATAAAGAAGACGCTTTTTAAATCTTACGTGTTATTTAAATTTTTCAATTTCAACAATTTACTGAGATTGATACTGAATGAATCCTGCCCCCTGAGAGTTAAGCTAATAAACCCGTCCCTATTCCTTCCGGCCACGGCCACTGCTTCCTTGACCGAGAACTTCTCTAAAACTCGGAGAGTGGAATTTAAAGTGGGACCCGCGGCAATCGCAGAGCTGCGCAGGCTCCTCTTCTAAAGCACCGGTGCGAGGCGCATGGCTGCGTGAGGCTCGGCCTCTGGGGCCCGTTGGTGTCGGCGGCCTAGGGAGGCGCGACGGCTGGTGGGCAGGTGAGAACACTGGAATCTCAGGTAGAAAAGCTAGCTGACCCAAGAGAAGTGACTTGCAGGTGCCTCCACCCCCTTTTCAGAAAGGTCACGGGTGTCCTCTCCGAAGGATATTTGGGGGTGGGGATAAGAAGAAGGCTGGCTCCTTCGAAAGCTAAAGATCTACCTTCTAAAAAGTTGTAGGCAGGCCCTGGCAGGGTGGCTCAGTTGATTAGAGCGTGTACGGTACACCAGAAAGGCTGTGGTCAGATCGGTCAGGGCACATGACTAGGTTGTGGTTCCATCCGGGTCGGGCGCTTAACGGGAAGCAACAGATCCATGTTCCTCTCTATCTAAAATACATAAACATATTCTCGAGTGAGGATTTAAAAAAAAAGAAAGAAAAAGCTATAGGCAGTAAATACTTGTCGGTGGCAGGAATGTGGATGGCGAGGGCGTGTTCAATATTGTGGGTAGTGTTCCAGGGGTAGAGCCTCCTCGCTGTCCCATCTGCGTGGCCGCACCGTGAAGTAGATGGAGAAGGTGTTCCAGCGAAAGCACCGATTGCACCTACGCTGACGCCTTCTGGCTGGACCCTGTGACTCCTCGGTCAGTCCTCTTTTGCTGGGATGGCCCTGGCTACCTGTGTCTGTCAGGGAGGCAGGGCCACCCTGTGACGTGGAACTGGACATCAAAACTATTGTACAGAGAGCGTAATAGTGCCAACCTTGTGAAAGCAGAAGCAGGACTCAGCACCTTTGAGTTTACAGAGATCGAAATCTTTTTGAGGTGTTGACCTTCTGAGGTCATGTGCATCTTTCTTCCTAAAAGGATCGTGCCCAAAATCCTATTGCCCTTTTTCAGAAGCTGTCAATACTTGCAGTTTCATTCATTCATTAACATCGTCAGTTATCCACACTATATATAGACTTCCGCGTTTTGCCATGTATAATGTGCACTTCTTTGCCCAAATTTTTGAAGGGAAAATAAGGATGCCCACTATACATGGGTAGTCCCTGAAATACCTTGTATCTGTTCTTATGTCTTGTAATTATTTGTTACATAAAATTTCTTGTACCATAATATGTTCAAAAATAAATGCTAAAATGCCTTTATAATACAAAAAAAAACAAGTATCTAAATATAAATAAATTGAATTAAAAATCAAAACAAAAGTTTTTCCTGAAAGTATGGGCAAAAAATGGGTGCGCATTAAATATGGAAGCACATTATACATGTCAAAATACGAGTGTACTATATATACTATAGAATTTATATATACTATGTATACTAATATGTATGTATATACATACACATATATATCTCGCTGTACTGAGTTAGCAGATACAGCAGTGACCAAGGCAGGCATGGAGCTTATATTCTGGTGATGGGAAAAGAAACAGTAAATAAGTCCACTGGTAAATGAACAAGGTATTTCCAGGTTGAGTTTCCTAGGAAGCAGACTCTCAGGAGGCTGGAGCGGAGGATATTTATTAGGAAGTACTTTTGGATCATTACAAAGAGAGAAAGCAGGATTAGGTGAATAGAAAAAGTTGAGCTGCAATGCAGTCCCAGGGAAGGCCTCCACCTGTCTCATGGGAACACTGGTGCTGGATTGGCCCTTGAAGGTTGTCCCAAGTTGAGGGGAAGAGCCAACCTTTATACCCCTGCATTGATTGGGTGCCTGTTGCCCTGGAAAGAGGGCATAACTTCAACTCTCTCTTTTAAAAAAAGATTTTATTTATTTTTAGAGAGAGTGGAAGGAAAAGAGAAAGAGAGAGAGAGAAACATCATGCTGTTGCCTTTTGCATGCCCCTAACCTGGGACCTGGCCCAAAACCCAGACATTTGCCCTGACCAGGAATCCGAGCAGCAGCCTTTTGGTGTGCAGACCAGGGCTCCATCCACTGAGCCATACCAGCCAGGGCTCCAAATGTCTTTGGCATAGTCAATCTGGGAGGGTGACTGACCACTGAGGATGATCTCAGCACTCCCAAGACCTAAGGAAGTGTCTCATTCTTCAGAGGGGTCAGAGTGGCACATCACAGCATTCACTGCAAAGATGGGGCTTTGAAGGTGAAAGGGAGACGTGCTAGAGAATAAGGGGGGTGAGAAAGGGAAAAACTTTAGCGGGGATGCTCAGAGGAAAACTCTCTGGGAAGATACATCTGAACCAACAGCCGAAGAACTGGAACAAGCCACCTTGTGCAGGACAAAGGGAACAAGACTCTACTTTCTGCTATGCACTGAGAATATAGCAGAGAAACAAAACAAATGACCACTACCTTCTGTTATAGTGGGTAGCAGTTACCATTTTTAATAGATACTGACTCCTTGCTGTAACTAGAGATGGTGTAAATAAAAATGGATTGAGACTAATTCAGGGGAAGATAGAGAAGAAAATAAGAAGTAGGGTTTTGAAAAATTAGCCAACTTGGTAAAGACTTTCAATCTATACAGTATTTTTTTTTTCCTTCCTATAGAGCATTTAATTGTGTCTCAATAGGATTGTGCCTTTTTTTCTCAAGCCTGTATTCTCTGAGAGGATGAGAACCATGCCTTACTCATTTTGATAGTCTCACTTTCCCACCTCCTCCCAGCCTAATGTCTTGCTAACACCTAATAGACACTTAAGTAAACATTTGAATAAAATTAATCTCACATATTTGAAGTGAAAATCGATAAACCCTAAAAGATATAAACACTAAATATGACTGCATTTCAATCTGTCTTTTCATTAGTCCCCAGTTATGTAAGTTATAACCAAATACTTGTTGAAATATTAAATGATAATATACAATCACTTTGGTCAAACAGGTATCTCCAGAGGTGATTATTTTTATATATGATTTGTATGAAATACACTGTTCTTCCAAAAATAATAATAATATCTGCTATGTATTGAATACTTTCCACATATTAGACACTGTACTAATAAATACGTAAGTATACATGTAGTAACCTTCATTATCTAGCCCTATATTACAGATTATAAAATTGAGGCAGGAAAAAAGTAGTTTACCCAAGATCATAACTAATTGGTGGAGGTTAGAATTTTATTCCCATCATTACTCAAAGCCTCATCATGCTAGGACTCTCATATTTAATCAGAAGGCAACTTTATTAACTTATCAGAGAAATATGAAATTATTCACCATCTTTGCTGTTTTGCTCTTCCCTTAAGTGTTCCTGTTTTCCTTCACAGTTAGCTTTTTTGGCTCTCACTTTAGGAGCTTGCCTCTTTCCTATAACATGATAGAATCTGATTATAGGTCCACCTCACTCTAATCAAAAGAGCACCAAATACCTCAGAACCTCTATCTTGAGAATCTGGGTATATTTATTGACATCTAGACTAAGTGAAACTGCCCAGATAAGCAGGTTTCCTTCATGGGGACCACTTCCCTTAGCCATTCCAGTCCTCTCTTGTTCTTGCTATACTCCAGGTTGACCCCCAGTAGTATTTTTTTCCTTTTAAAATAATCAAAGTAATAATAGCTAGCGATCACTGAGTCCAGACTAAGTGCCAGGTATTGTACTAATTGCACAGCAGCCTTGTGATACGGAAGTCATTATCATGTTACAGATGATAGAACAAGCAGAGTGAGGTTAAGTGACTCATCCAAGGTCACACAGCCGGCTGTACAGTGGTAAGGTAGAGGCTGAAAGCCCCGGCAGTAGGATTCCACAACTTACCTCCTTAACTACTACAGGACAATGCAGTCTTACTAAAATGATTGGCTGTGCTTTACCTTCTGATGCTGGTATGGAGGAACTAGATCCTGATGGGCTTTAATGCTGTCCTAAGAAATTTAGGTTATACTTTCTAGTCAAAAATGTCACTGAACGCCTTTAAGCAAAGGAGCAACATGACCAGATTTGTTGGGATATTTTTGCAGGTAACTGTTTGAAGAATAGTGGAGAGTAAACTAGAGCAATGGTTCTCAAACTTTAGCTTCAGAATTACCTGAGACTTTTTTAAAAACACAGAATACTGGATCCCACCCTATAGTTTCTGATTTAGTAGGTCAGGGGCAGCCCAAGAATTTTTGTTTCGAGAACTACTGGACTAGAACTAGCCAGGAGGTCTTGTGAGGTAATGAGAGCTGTGGCTGCGGGGAAAAGTTACATAAAAGAAAAGCCATGTCGAGTGACAGGACTGTGTGACTGGCTTGATGAGTATAAGGAAAAAGATAGAGTTTGCCGTATCCAGACCTCTGAATTGGACAAGTTGATAAGTAATGCACTTTTTTAAAAAAAATTTCTAACCAAAACAGGAAATACACATTGAATAGCAATTTGGGAAGGAAAGAGATTTATTTTTACATGAGATGAGTTTAGATTCTGTGGGCACAGTTAGGTAAAGGTGAATAGTAGCAGTTGGATATACTGCCTCTAAGCAAGAGAAGGTACAAAAGTAATTAGTGGATGTGTTAAAGTAGGGGCTTTGGCTGTGAATGAGACCACCCAGGAAACAAGAACACGGGGGACAAGCCGGCCAAGGAAAGATCTTTAATAAGGTTAAATAGGTGGATGGAAACTGAGGGACCATGGTAAAGGAGATTGAAAAGGAATAGACGAGAATCTCAAGTACTTAAAGAGTTTCAAGAACACATCAAAATCCTTGGAAAGATCAAACAGGGGAGATACTGGTGATCTTTATAGACAGAGCAGTTTCCATGGAAGATGGAATGAAAGCAGATAACTTAGGTTTGAAGATGGAAGTATTCAGTCACTCTGGAAAAAGATGCATTATTTGAAAAGAATCAGATTGTATAGTGGCTGGAAGGGAGACTGATAAGAGGCAGCTGCTTTAGGGAATTTGTTTTTGGTTCTTTTTAATGGAGACAAATGGTCAGGTTATGCAGAGGAGGAAGATCCATTACCAGTGGGAGGTGAGGGAAAGAGAGGGATCAGAGGAGTTAAAATCCGTAGACACAGTAGAAAGTGGACTGAATTGAGGATAATTAGCAGCAGTATAGGTTCTTCCTCTGAGACAGTGAGGAAGGGAGTTAAGATTGAGAGCTGAGATGGATAGGTTTTTACATGGGAGTATAGGAAGGTGAGGGTGCTAATACCCAGTAGCCACAATTTCCTCCGGCTAATAGGTTGGGTATCTGCCGAAACATAGGTGGAGGGTAAAATGGAAATCTCAGAAATGACGAAGAGAGAAATCAGCTCCTTAGGGATTCACAGCCGACCAGGGGCATGTAAAATCACTGCTGGAGCATCATGGGCCCAATCAACTGCACGTTTAATTTGGAATAGTCTGGCTAACTGCCTTCCCCACACCAACCCCAGCATCCAGTGGCATCCAGATATAAAAAACGGTGAAAAGGGATAGAAAGATTTTCATACAATTCTATAAACTTTATAAACTCTAAAAATTCTGTAAACAGCACTTCAGCCTTTCTGATAAGCCACAGGCTGCCAGTAAACTGATTTTCTCTTCATTAATTACTAGTCACTTACTCAAGCTTCACATTCTGGGCTGCCAACTCTTAGTAAAGCTCCTACGTAAAACTCATGATGCTTTCAGTATATTATTTATTTGTAAATACATTGATTTCACAGTAATGGAAGATGGGGTTAGCAGAGACCATAAAATACTTATGCATAGCTATGTTGACCTTCACTACACTCTGACTGCTCCTGACCCAGTTCTGACTAGGCTGTGCTGTCAGCGGCCCAGCTACTTAGTGTAGGTCAAGCTGACCTTGAATGTTGGAGTAGGGAAGGTGGTTGGATTTTTGCTGAATGGAAACTTTTTCTTGGCTTATATTTATATGTACTCAAAAAGAATACAGTATTTTAATGAGGTGGAGAAATATAACAAGCACCTTCCCATTCTGTTTATTAATCTCATGCTATTTATTCTGCACTACGAACTAAGCTAAAGAAAACTGAACTAAAATTAGCCCAGCTAATCTCAACTGTTAGTAGGTCCCAAATGTTCTGTTTCGAGGATAATAGATTCTTTTGCCCTCTCATTTTGGACAAAGTGACAAGTATGCATTTAGTTCATCAGGAGTTGGCAGTAATGTTTTGGTGTGTGTGTTTTCACGAGACTGGAAAAGTTCAGCAAAACTATTATTTTAGGTGATATAGTTAGGTAAAAAAAGGAAACTATTGTTCTCTTTAGCATGTCAGTTGAATAGTCATAAGGACAATATGCAGTCCTTTCCAACATGTATACACACACAAAAAATTACAAAACTTGAACTGCTCTATTAAAAATTGAGGATAAAAATAACTTCTTAGCATCAACAATTGGAATTCAGGAATGAAGAATTCACAAATACCTAAAGCAAACATCATTGTAAAAGAAAAGATATACATTGCAGTAAACTTCATCAGATGTCACAATCACAGAGCTGGGTTAATTGTTTAACAATCTGTCAAGTGTCCTCTTCATGATTAAATTACATTGAGTCGAAGTTTTTAAAAATAATTTTTCCAAATACTTTAAGCAGAGCAGGAATGAAGACCAAAAGAAAAAAAAAGGGATCTACCTAACACTGTGTCCAAAAGACCAGCAGATGGCGCCCAGCAAACCCAGTAAGCAAAATGAGAATCTTTTACAAAATATTTACTGCATCCAGGTTGCTGTAAACTTAATTTAGCATTGCCAGTAACAACACTTGGTGGTTTTACTTGACATCATGTTACATAGAAAGTAATCTGATAGCTAGGGCCAGGCAGTTTACGATTTTCTAGGAAGCTTACTGATAATTGCCTTTTTGCCTTTTACTGTACAGTACAGTGCTATCACCAAAAAACCTTCATTTAGCTTAGAATGTAACAAGTTGTAGTAAGCCTATCAGGCTTGAGTGGTAGAAACTGAGGAGATAGTAATCTCTGTAATACAAATTGGGGAGAGGGAAATTTGCTATTCTAGACACAGTAATGCCTTAACTTTAGAGAGTATTTGTGGTCAGAAGCATATTGCTCAGTATTTTCTTGGCTTATATTTATATGTACTCAAAAAGAATACAGTATTTTAATGAGGTGGAGAAATATAACAAGCACCTTCCCATTCTGTTTATTAATCTCATGCTATTTATTCTGCACTACGAACTAAGCTAAAGAAAACTGAACTAAAATTAGCCCAGCTAATCTCAACTGTTAGTAGGTCCCAAATGTTCTGTTTCGAGGATAATAGATTCTTTTGCCCTCTCATTTTGGACAAAGTGACATGAGATTATAGTTAACCTCTTCTTTTTTTTTAAAGATAGATCTACTTATTTATTTATTTATTTATTTATTTATTTATTTATGTTTAGAGAGAGGAGAAGGAAAGGAGAAAGAGAGGGAGACAAACATCAATGTGTGGTTGGCTCCTGCACACCCGCCACCAGAGGCCTTGCCTTCAACCCAGTCATGTTCCCTGACTGGGAATTGAACCTCCGACCCTCAATCCACTGAGCCACATGAGCCAGGGCTACAGTGAACCTCTTTTGTACCTGACACAAGAATCAGAAGGACGTGCCAGGCTTAATGCACTGGATAGTTGACCTCTGTGACCCTCACAAGCATGCACCGTGCACTTAGAATTTTCTTCTTGTCCATCATCATGCACTGGGAGTTCTGATTGACTCTATTGCCAGAGCTGAGACACTAATTTGTAACTTTTGAAAATTGCTTACTACGATATCAGCCAAAACCTTCAGGGCTCTGCAGTCTACGTCAAGTGCCACAATTAATTGACATTAATCTCAGAATCAATTATTTAGTATTTCCTTATTTCTAAAGCAGTGTCATAAAATTACTATGAAAACAAAACAAAATAGAAATATGAAACTTTTTGAATAATGCAAGGTATATATTTTTGAAAGAAGAGTATAAGAAAGCATCATCTGTCTTAAGATTTCCCCTAACATTTTCTAAACTTAACAAAAGGCATCTCAATGTATAAAACCATAAGTGTCTATTTTCTATTTTACCTATAGAAAATTCACTAATTTCATTAGTCTTGGTTTAAAGAATTCCAAGCCCTCTGTTTTTTTTTGTTTGTTTGTTTGTTGGATTGATTGTTTAGGAGTGTGTTTAAAGACGATTCAGGAAAGGTAAGGAAAGGGGACTCACAGGTACTTAAAGGAGGGTAAGAGGAGGAGAAATGTCTTCCACAGTCATTCCTACTGCTGCTTTCCTCCCAAGAAAAGCTCGCTGAATGAACAGCAAGCACTCACTTATCCTAGGGACCAACCTGTTATTGCTCATCAAAGCTGATCATTTTGAGCACATTCTTGAGAAATGTTTGTTTCAGATGCAGGGATCTCTGGTGTCCATAAAATAGTTCCATACTTTTTGGAAAGAGTTGGTAAGTGTTTCGAGGGAAGAACCATTTTAGGTTAAACTTTATTTAGCTTAATTTTCCATTTCCAAATTGGATTTCCTAGTGTACCTGCTGCTCGGCATCATGAATCTTTGTAAAAGTCAGGGTTCTAAAACCTTGTAAGTTTGTATGAAAAATGCGTTGTTAAGAAATCTGGTAGGTCTTTATCTTATCATTGAAGCAACATATATTGTCTGTGAGCGTGGGGTCTGGAGTGTTAACAAGAACGCTTACTACCATAGCATATTTAGCAATAAAACATTGAAAAAAATCAAATTCCTGTCAATGAGTGACCTGTCAAATTAGGATACCTCCATATAGTCAAAAGCTGTACAGCTATTAAAAAATCATAATGAAGGTTAATAAGATTAATACTCTGGGGGGGGAAGAAAGTTTACAAAATAGCATGTCATCTATTATGATCATATTTTTGTTAAAACCAAGATTATATACATGTGTAGCTTTCTTTTCCTTAGTTCTATATTTTCTAATTTTAAAAAGTAAGCCTGTACTATATTTATTAGAAAATGGCAGTGATGCTAATGTTAATTTTTGGAGGGGAGGGGAGGGAATCCCACAGAAGAATTGAAAAGAAAAAGAGTTAAATCAAAGTCGTATCCCCAAAATGTATTTAAAAGCTCCACAAAAGGATACGAACAAAATTAGGAACACATTATCTCACTGACTACATCAGATTTCAAATTTCAAAGCTGTGTTGTTTTTTTCTCAACAGTGAACCTTCTCAATAAAGTCTTTTGTGTCTGATGCTAGGAAGCTGGTTTTTTAAGCAACAGAGTACATGAAATATGCTGGAAAGCTCTCCAGGAAACAAAATAAATTAAGGTTACTATACCATTTTGAGAGTACTAATTTCATCTTGTTTGGTGGAGATGGGCGGTTAGGTGTGTATTTATGTGAATTAAAAGTTAAGACTGTAAAAGTGCTTTGTAAAGTAAACCGTATCATCTGATCCTAATCATTTTCCAAGCCTCTCTCAAATGACAACAGAATAATCTTCAGAAAATCATTACCTGCTCTCTCACCTCCATTAACCAAATCAGTATGTGAGATATGGAGAGTTTGAGGAAATAGGAGGTTGTAGGTTTTGAGTAAACATTAAGGTAATTAATTATTAAATCAACCCACATCATTTCTTAACCAGGAAGTGCTGTTACTGGCCCTCAGTGATATTTGGCAAATAATGAGTTTTCAACCAAAACAGATAACTGATTCCCAGCCTTAACGAAACCTCAATGTAGAAAAAGAGGTATAACTCCTTAAGTTATTCTAATGAATAAGAAGAAAGACTTAAACACAGTATAAACAAAATGAAGTGCCTCCTTTGTCCTTCACCCATGAATGACCCGAAGTTTCACTGAGCACCGGAAGCTAACTCCAGGGAGCTGATTGACACTGTTCTCCACAAAGGTGCACAGTACATCATGTTACTGTGATTTACATGGAGAGAATAGTACTACACTTTTTCAGACATTGATTGTTAAACAGATTGTAGTTCAATTTGTTCTGAATTTTAGTTATTGAGTTACCCAACTTTACTGTTATAACCTTTCATCCAAAAGACTCTTTTCTATAAGCTGTTTCCTAAAAGTTCAGAATCTGGAAAAAGCTGACTAATATCAAGTTATATTAATGATCATGGAGAAGTAATCAGCAAATAGCAGAAATGCTACCTGTTAAAAGTCCTGTGACATGATAGCCTCATGTTGATAGTGACAGATGTTAAAGTCACCCTAAGTGTCCAGGAGACCAGATATGAATGACGGTATCTTTTAAACCTTTAATTCAGGTATTTTGTGGACAAAAATGTCACATGTCAGTCAACACAAGCTAGCTGATACAGGTGCAGCCCCGCCCCTCCTTTCCTCTGGGAAGGAATCCTTGCAATACTTCTCCCTTCATTACTCCAAATCAGCCAGTACCTCCTTCAAATGGTTTATCTTCAAATCTCAAGTGCTGCAAAGGCTTTTGCATAGTGGGCTTTAATGAAATTTAATCATGATACAGTTATTTGTGATTGACTTTCTCCAAAGATAGAACATGAACATGCCGATAAAACTTATGGTCTATAAAGGTTGCACAAAGTATAAAGGACTTAAAAGGAAAAGGCCATAAAATACTTTCAGTTACAAAGTAGGCCATGTTTTCTTCATCTAGTAGTTTAAGTTTAGCAACAAAATACTTATAAAATGTAAATTTGGACCTTGGAGAGGAATGATTTCCAATGATGGGAATAATATATGTACGTAGACATTAGTTCCTAAGCGTCTATATATTTTTAGCATATGTGCACAGAACACAGAAGAGAGTTCAGGTATTTAGCTTATTAGTGCTGCTTTTAAATCTTGACAAAAGGGAAGGAATAAGTAAAAATTGTGTTCCGGCATTTTCCTAATGGCACTCATACAAAATTACTGTAAGAGATTTCATGATACTAACACTTATTCATGCAATTTAACCTAATTCATAATATATCCCATAGATGATGAAGCAGTCCTCATTGTTCTGTGCTCAGAAAAGAACTTGGAAAGTGGTTCCCTTCATATCATCACGAGTCTATGAACTAATCACTAAAGCCTAATAAGTGTCCCTGAACTAAAAAAAAAAAAGTATAAGGAGTCTTTAGAGGTTATCTAGACTCAAGTTCACAATCCTAACAGATCATCAGAAACAGACTTCCTGGGCCTCACTCCGCACTTTCCAAATCAAAGACAGGAAAAAAAAAATTTCTGTTTTCAATACTAACTAACTTTGTAACTCCAAGTAAGTTACTAACCCTAATTTGTTCATATAAACTGGGTTAACAGTAACCTCTGTAAGTATTAGTAATAAGGGTAAACAGTCTAAAATGCAGTGGTTCCACACATAAATGTGGAAATGGCATGAATTCACCCTAATTCATACACTTGAAACCATAATTTTTTGGCTAGAGTTGGAATGCACGCATGACTGTCCCAATCTCAGTTGAAACACCATCACTTACATCCTGTCACAATGCAGAATCTAAATTCTTATTGTATATGTAAGGAAATTCTATTTTAAAACGTTATACCCATGTATGAGTGATTGTCTCCAAAGATTTATATAGCTTTCCCAGCAGGTAATTGTGCTCCTTTACAATTGTTGACTAAAAGCTTAATAATGCTTTTTAGGTTTCCCAATCCTAATTTCCTGCTATCTCTAGGTCTGTAACATACCTCAAAAGTTAATTAACATTGCAGTATATTGTAACTAAAAACTTTTGAAAGTCAGCTTTTATTAGAATGTAGTACTCTACTTGTGGTGCCTTATAGATGTAATTTGAGGGATTGATTATTTTTTTTTCCTCTTTTAACTTTCTTAGGTGCACTGATGCTGAAGTACTATGAGCTTTCAGAACTTCTGGAAAGACTACAAAGTTCTGGTTGTTATGGTACCTTTAATTGGGTTCATACACTTGGGGTGGCACAGAGTCAAAAGTAGCCCTGTTTTCCAAATACCTAACAAGGACAACGTTCTTAAGCCAGATAGTCTGCCACTTGCAAGTCCTCAGAAGGATCACATCGAGGAAAAATAGCGCGGTCGCATTCTTCAGGTAAATTCAACTTAATCTATAACCGAATGGTATGTTCCAACAATGGGAAACATTATCTTTTAAAAAGTATCAAGTTCTGGCAAAAAAACAAAGAAAAGCCTAACTTGGTGAGTTACCTGTTGATTTTATTATCCACGAGCAAAATATTATTCTGTAGTTGCTTCTAGAAAATTTTGTTCTACAGAGACCTTTGACACTTGCCTGGCAGGCTCATTTGGATAAAAAGAGAAAGGCCGGTCAGACCATTACTTGTCCTGTCCTTTCCACTGGCAGTGTCACCAGGATCATGAATATGTCCAAAGGAACAAGGTCTCCTTGCCATAAATCTATTCTAGGGCATGCAAATCTGTAACTTGCAAAAGGCTATTTTCTTTATTATTCTGTTTTTTCCAAGACAAAACTAACTGTATTCATTCCTTAGTATCTAATATTTTAGCTTCAAAAAATTTATTACTTTTGAGAGTCACTATCACTTTCAATGATTTCTTTCTCATTTCATAAAGATATTAGTAGCCAAAACATGTGGTTACTAGTCTTACTACCACAAGACTTTTATAGGTGCTAACTTCGTTCTACTGAAATTCCATAGTGCATGTCACCATTATGTACTGAAAACTTTTTTACTAGAGAAATCAATTTATTGATCACAGTTTCTATTGTGATTTGTGGTGTGTGTTGCCATAATGTGCAAATTAATGTATGGAAGTAACTTCACTATGGTTTTATTTAAATGTATTTCATGGATTCTGCTGAATATAAAATAACTATTGAAATAATATTTAAGTACTTAGCTATTCCTGTCATAAAATGAACAGAGATTTGTTTTCCTCCTCATAAAATTAAAAAAGAAATGACTATAACTTTATTATCACTGAGAGAAACCTGGCCACCATTGTTTTTATTAGAGTCCATGTTTTATTTATCAGTTGCCATGGTTGAGAGGAGTGTTCAAATTAACACCCCACATGAGCATTTCCTCATTCTCCTCACCTCTTTGCACACCTTCAAATCACCTTTCTAGTCTGTATCATACATACTCTGCTCGGAACTTTGGTGAGTTTTATTTATACTAAATACTGTCCCAAGTGTTCAGCATAGTTAGCATATTCCTAAAAATAATAATTGACTGAACCTTCACCTTCAAAGCACCAAACCTCAACAGATAAGATCCATGACCTGAGATTTTTATTCTTTCCACGCATTATTAAAGCATCTGGATTTTATGCCTCAAGTTACACTATTTACAGCCTTGTTAAGGAAACTAGTACAAGTTCTAGTGCACTTGGTATATGATAACATTTTATGGCATTTAGACTCTTTGAGAATGAATTGCAAATCAGATCCTATTTTTCTCTGTCATCTAGCACATTTTCTGGATTTCGTACTTATATTGTCATTAACCAAAGTTTTGGGGAGGATTAGTTGTAGGACATCAAAACTGAAAATCACTGATTCATAGTGTAAAACTACAGAACTTGAGCTCCAGCTATAGACAAATATTTAAAACATGGTTTGTTGTTTGATTCAATATGTTGTGCAGATTTCTACAGCTAAACGTAGGCTGTACCTTGGAGTCTCTGCAGTAGGAATGCTAACATTTACCTGGTTTTCATAATTACTTACAAGCAGAATTTGATATAAATGTACTTCTTTTGAGACCTAAAGTTTCCAAGCAAACCAAAGTTAGAGGAAAAAAAAAAATTAGATCTTGATATAATAGAATAAAAACATTTGGGGCTTTTTTTCAAGACTCAGAGACCAAATTCTTTAAGTTTTATAATGTAGCACTTATCTTCTAAAAACATACCATATTCAAATAACTGTACTATAAGCTTTCTAGCTGTGCTGTTGTACCTTCCAAAATCATTGAATGTTAGCACTTTTTCTTGTAGGGATTTATTGAAGGATAAAGGAATGAATGTATAGTCTAAGTTGATTTACATTTCTCATTTTATGGAGGCTTATGCCAGTTAATAGTTTCTTTTTTTAAAGAAGGAATAGATCACTAAAATGAATTATTAAGCTACAATCTGTAAAATGTTTTGGAATCATTTCTCTAAAGTGTTTTAATTTTATCTTCTATAGAAAAAAGCAGCTTTGAATCTGAGCTTGATATTGAACGAAGAAATGAAAAATACAAGTTGGATTAAAAAGAACTGGCTTCTTGTCGCTGGGGTTGCTTTCGTCGGTGTTCATCTCGGAACATACTGTATGCAAAGGGCTGCAAAACAGTCTGTAAAATCTCAGTCGGGAGGCCAAAAAAAGAATATTAAAGAATGAAGTAAAATAAATATTTGGAATTACTAATATGTCATTAAATCATTACATGCTGATTAGCTTCATAAACAGGAAGCTATGTAATTTCATAACCACAATGCTACATACTCAGACTTTCATTCCTGAAGAATACTTTTTAAAAATGTTAAAATAAATAGAAAACTATGGTTAACAAAATAAAAGCTGTCTTCACAAATTGCCACCTGAAGTAAGATGTTTCGTTTAGAAGCTAAAAAGCCATCACTGTGTAAAAGTGAACCACTGACAAGTGAAAGAGTCAGGGCCACACTCTCTGTCTTGAAAGGAGTCCTAACGTCATGCTATGGCCCTTCTGGCCGCCTGAAGCAGCTGCACAATGGCCTGGGGGGCTCTGTGTGCACCACCTCGCAGTCGTCAGCCCTGCTTGCTAACCTCTCCGTCACCCATCCCATTTTGAAGATCCTGATGACTTCTGTGCAGAATCATGTGTCATGCTTCAGTGACTGTGGCTTATTCACAGCCATTCTTTGCTGCAATCTGATTGAAAGTGCTCAGAGAATAGGCTTGACACCCACCACTGTCATTAAATTAAATAAACATCTTTTGAGCCTCTGCACCAGTTACCTCAAGTCTGAGGTATGTGGTTGTCGAATCACAGTCAACTTTAGCAGCACTCAGATTCTCCTTTGTTTGGTACGCAGTATATTAACAAGTAAACCTGCCTGTATGCTCACCAGAAAGGAAATAGACCACATCAGTACTCTGATTCTGAGAGCATTTTTGCTTACAATTCCAGAAAACGCCGAAGGCCACATCATTTTAGGAAAGAGTATAATTGTGCCTTTAAAAGGTCTAAGAGTTACAGATTCTACTGTGTTGCCTGGAATACTTATTGAAATGTCAGAAGTTCAATTGATGAAGATACCGCCTATCAAAAAATCAGATTCCTTCAAGGTGGCACTCTTTCGTGTGTCTTTATCTGGGGACCTTTCAGATACTGGAGAAGGAACTGTAATGGTCAATTATGATGTTTCTCCTGAAAATGCAGTTCTGGACCAGTTGCTTAACCTAGGAATGCAGTTAGTTGGTGATCACATAGATCTTGTCATGTGCCAAAAAGTAATACACCCATCTTTGAAACAGTTTCTCAGTATGCATCATATTATTGCCATAGACAGAGTTGGAGTGGCTCTGATGGAGCCTCTGAGTAAAATGACAGGTAAAACACTCAGCTTTTGTCCCTTTATCGTTTTTAAATCACACTTTTTTTTTGAGCAGAGATATTCTTGGTGTGTGTCACTGTTAACATCTTGAAAAATTTTAGAAGCCGCCAACCTCACAGCTTATATGAATATCATTTATGGCAGCAAGCATTTCTGGAAAAGATCCTATATTGTTCACTTATTAAATATTGAGTGATTATGGCTATTTTCTATGTATTTCCCAGCTCTAAAATATACTGTAGAGTCTGTCATAATCTAGAACTTAACCCCCAAATATCTTACAGATTTTTGAGAAGACTAACATCCTTATAGTCATAAGGTCTTTCACACTTCACACAAAATTCTACTTGAGTTTTACAAAGCTTTTAAGTCCTTCATGATTCAGAAAGTAATTTTGCAGCAGAATATTCCCTTTTCCTCACTTAACCAAACAACTGCGCTTCTGCCTAAACAGTGGTTCCTAATTAAATGTGTGTGTGTGTTGCAGAGGGAGGGGGGTGTCTGTGTGTGTTGTAGCTTTAAATATCCCAAATATTTCTAGCTGAGCTCCGAGAGAACCAGGATCACCTTTTGTTTTCAGAGCTCACAGCAGGCCTGGTACACAGTGGGTGTTCCAAAATGCTTGTTGAATTGGCTATAAGATAGTAACATACAGAACTGTAATAGGCAAAAAATTCACTGTATTTCACAAACTCAGTAAATTAAAAGCAGATATAAGGTTGATATTTACCTATTAGAGCCAAACAAAAATGACAAAATGAAGAGTTCCTAATTTCAGCCACTTTTTAGTATTCCTTTAATTGCATTGACAATCTGTCAGAAAGACGGTTATTTTATTCTGATTAATTGTTAATTTTTAAGTTATTAGATAAACCATTGTTAAAGATTACTGATTTTTCTCTTATTGTAAATCAAAAAAGGAGTACTATATGTGGCAAGTATTGACTATATAACATCCCTGGTTTACTGTCCTACCTTTGTGAGATTGTCAAAGAGGAAATTATTAAATAATAGAAATAGTTCTTTCGAATTCATTGTTGATATGGGTCAGACTCATATACTTAAATATTTGCTGGCTTTTAATGAATCAGGTAATTTCAGGTTGTGAATATTAGGTTCGTATGAAGCATCTTCCCATAAAAATGTAAGTGGTCACTGAGTTTCCACACCAGCCCACAACTGTCCACAATTGTTATTTTTCCCACGTGCAATTAGGACATAGTATTAACAGCCAGAGCTCTAGATCTTGGAATAAGGGACCTTGTGAGACAGAAAGGGGAAAATACACACACACACATACACACACACACACACACGTACATGCACACGTATATCAAGCCCATGGCTCAGGTAAACTAAAAAAAGGTGAACTATGTTCCAAGCCTAATTCATTTTTCCATGGTATATCTAGGTTAACATTACCTCCTTTCTCCTCCTCCAAACAAAATTCCTCTTTACTGATTTGGGCTAAATAGTTGAGTCATTACAAATGGGCAAATAGTGGAGTTACTGAACATGGACAATGTGTGCGTAAAGCTTGTTATGTCTTACAGAGCATTTTAAACATTTAGTTTATTTGTGAAGTAGACCTTATCCCCATTTAACTCTTATATGGGGGAAGCCCACCCTGAAAAGAATGTGACATGAAGGACATATTTCACATCCAGTGGCTGATAAGGAATAAAGCCAGATCCTCCCTTCGCATTCTCTGTTGTGTCCACCATATGAAATTACACAAAATGTAGGCTTTTTACTTTCCCTTAAAATTTAGATGACTCAAGTATTCCTGTTTCTTGAGGCTTCAGAAGTAATGAAAAAAGTATACTCAAAGAAGTGATTATTTTCTGGGTTCTCATAAAAAAATTTTGAGCTGGAATGTTATAGACATTATTGTTTTAATCCGTTAGGCTTGAAAGAGGAAACTGGCCTAAAGTACTGCATTGCTAGTTAGAGTTTTAATGTTAAGACTTTAAAATTGGATTGTTATTTCTTATAAGAAGTTTGGTGTCATTTCATACATAACTTGCACTAAATTTTAGAAATTTTAGAAACCTTCCAGTCATCCTAACTTCTTTTTCTATTTTTATTAATTTGTGTTTTGTAAAATTTTATTTGTGCAGGAGGGTGAGCAAAATAACATACCAAAGAATAAAAAAATGAAATTAAAATGTTACATATTTTATTTCGGCATAACTGAAGTAGCTATTTACATGTAAACAGTTGCTAGGAAAAAGGAACTATATGTTCACTATATAGAGACCAAAACAGCTATTTGGATATTTTAATTTGTGTTTTAAGGTGAAGATAATAATGCCTTTTTAAAGTAATAGCCTATGCTCTCACTTCACCCTATTCCACATTAGTGGGGTTCTTCTTTTGGATCTCTTATTTGTGAATGGGCCTCCCGAGTTCCTGGAGTCCCAGCAAATGTACGCAAATTTTGTGTCCCTTTTTCTGGAGAGTACAAAATAGCTTCTGAAATATGTTCAAAGAAGTCAGTAAACTAACAGAACCTCTGCTTTATTTGTATATCATGTTAATAGTAGAACACTACTTATTTTACAGGCTTAAGAAGATGCATCTTGTTCTTTATCCTATGTCATTTTAAATGATACCTTTATGGGACTTAACATTGGCTGAGAAAAATATAATTTTAAATGATTGTATACTCCATTTTTACTCATATATTTTGTGTTTTCTAAACTATAAAAAATAGGAACACAGCCTATTGGTTCCCTCAGCTCAATCTCTCCTAGTAGTTACGGAAGTGTGAAAGATTTGTGCACTGCAACATTTGGCATCAAATGGTTTTTTCACCTTATTCCCCATGAAGAGACTGTCTGCAGCTTACTTCTCGGGAACAGAAATGACACTCTCTGGGATGAGCTGAAGGTAGGTAACACTTTGATTTCTATATTTAGGGTCTGAGGCAGGGATTAAATAGTCATTCAGAAAGATATGATTTTTTTTCACATTGGTGAGCTATATTCCACCCCCCACCCATAACTTCCCTAGGTGGTATATAAAGCAAAAACAATAAAAATGAGAGAATTAAAGTGACAAGTAGGCATTACAGTCAACCTCGCATGTGTTACCATTTATTATCTCTAGTATTTACAAATAACCTAAACATCCCTAACAATGAACTTTTCTTAATAAATTAACTTGAATTATGTACTCTTTGATGCTAAATGTGTATGAATAATTCACTGAAATGATGAATTCCATGGTCATATCCATCATCCATCTTTTAACAGAGTTTGTTGTTCTCTACCAGCAATAGCACAGGCAACTTTTTTGTGGGGGGGGGGGGGAGGGGTGGTTAGCTCTTCCTTAAATGTTTTGTAAAATTTTTCTGTAAAACCATCCGGTCCAGGGCTTTCCTATGCCAGGAGTTTTTTGATTACTGCTTCAATTTCACCAGCTGTTATCAGTCTGTTCAGGCTTTCTTCTTCTTTATTCAGTGTTGGAAGGTTATATTTTTCTAGAAATTTGTCCATTTCATCAAGGTTTTCAAATTTATTGGCATATAATTGTTCATAGTAGTTTCTGACAATCCTTTGTATTTCTGTGGTATCAGTTGTTATTTCTCCTATTTCATTTCTGGTATTATTTATTTGGGTCCTCTCACATTTTTTCTAGATAAGTCTGCTCAGAGGCTTGTTGATTTTGTTTACCTTTTCAAAGAACCAGCTCTTGGATTTATTGATCCTTTGAATTATTCTTTCAGTCTCTATGTCATTCAATTCTGCTCTGATTTTTATTATTTCCTTCCTTCTACTCACTCTGGGCTTTGTTTGTTGTTATTTCTTCAGTTCTTGAAGATGTAAGGTTAGGTTGCTTATTTGAAATGCTTCTATTTTTTTTAGGTAGCCCTGCATTGCTATGAACTTCCCTCTCAGGACTGGCTTTCACTGGGTCCCATAGGCTTTGGGCTGTTGTTTTTCTTTTCATTTCTTTTCAGAAACTTTTTGACTTCTTCTAAGATCTCATTATTGACCCATTCATTGTTTCATAGCATGGCATTCAGTCTCTATGAATTTGAATGCTTTTGAGTTTTTTTCTTAATGTTGGTTTCTAGTTTTAAGCCTTCATGATCTGAGAAAGTGCTTGTTATGATATCAATTTTCCTAAATTTGTTGAGGCTAGTTTTGTATGCTACCATGTGGTTGATCTTTGAAAATGTTCCATGTGCATTTGAATAGAATGTGTATTGCTTCGTTGAGATGAAACGTTTTATATATGTCAGTTAAGTGCATTTGATCTAATGCATCATTCAGTTCCACAATCTCCTTGTTGATGTTTTGTTTGGAAGATCTATCCATTTTTTAGAGTGGGGTGTTAAAATCCCCTACTATCAGTGTGTTGCTGTCTATATCTTTCTTGAGGTCCTCCAAGATTTTTCTTATATATTTGGGTGCTCCTATGTTGGGTGCATATATGTTTATAATGTTTATATCTTCTTGATGGATTCTTCCTTTGAGTATTATGAAGTGTCCTTCTGGGTCTCTTTTTATGGCCTTTGTTTTGAAATCTATGTTATCTGATATAAGTATTGCTATCCCAGATTTTTTTTCCTGTCCATTTGCTTGGAATATTTTTTTCCATCCCTTTACTTTCAGTCTGTGCATGTCCTTTGTCTGAGGTGGGTCTCTTGTAGACAGCTTATTTGCAGGTCATGTTTTCTTATCCATTCAGCTAGTCTTTTGCTTGGGGCATTTAATCCATTTACATTTAAAGTTATTATTGATAGGTTTTTATTGATTTTTTTTTCCCTTTGTACCTGTGTTCCTCTCTTTCTCAATCTATTTCTTCATCTTCTTAAAGCAGTCCCTTTAGCATATCTTGCAGTGCTGGTTTGGTGGAGGTGTATTCTTTTAGCCTTCTTTTGTCTGGGAAACTCCTTATTTTGCCTTCCATTTTAATTGAGAGCTTTGGGTAGAGGAACCTTGGTTGCAGGCCTTTGCTTTTTATGACTTGGAATATTTCTTTCCATTCCACCCTGGCCTGTAGTGTTTCTGTTAAGAAGTCAGCAGTTAACTGTATCGGGGTTCCCTTATATGTTACTTCCTGTTTCCCCCTTGCTGCCTTTAGGATTCACTGTCTTTGATATTTGCCATTTTAATGATGATGTGTCTTGGAGTGGGCCTCATTGGGTTCCTCTTGAATGGGAACCTCTCTGCTTCCTGGACTTGTGTGTCTTTTTCTCTTCCCAAATTAGGGAAGTTTTCCATCATTACCTTTTCAAACAGGTTCTTTATCCCTTCCTCCGCTTCTTCTCCTTCTGGTATCCCTACTATACAGATATTATTGTGTTTCAGGTTGTCCTGCATTTCCCTAAATGCCTCTTCATTCATTTTGAGTTTATTTTCTTTCTCTTTCTGGGAGCTTTTTTCTGCCTTGTCCTCCAGCTTGCTGATTTCAATCCTCGGCTTTATCTAGCCTGCTTTTGATTCCTTCTACTGTGTTCTTCAATTCAGAAATTCTATTCTTCGTTTCTTCTTGCCTCATATTGATAGTTTCTATGTCCTTGTTCATGCTGATATAGTTTGCAGTAAGTTCCTCATAGTTTCCCTGTAGTTTTCTGTAATTCTCTCTGGGCTCACAGAGCTCTTTAAGATTCTTTAGGACCATTGTTTTGAACTCAATATCTGATAGTTGACTTGCCTCTATTTCATTTAGTTCTCTTTCTGAGGGTTCCTCCTTTCCCTTTGACTGGAGGGTGTTTCCTTGTCTTCCCATTATTTGTGAGACTCTTCTCTTTTTGCTTCTGCTTCTTAAATTGATCTGGCTTGACTTTGTGGTGTGAACTTCTGTGGTAGGAGGCCGCTGTTTTTTCTTTCTCGATCTGTCTCTGATGATGTCAGATGTTGACCCCATCTGACCTTAGGCAGTCTGTTCGAGAGTTCCAGGAATCTACTGTCTGTGGCTGTGTCCTTCAGGTGTTACTATAGTCACTCTGCACTCAGCAGTCAGGCTTAGGCACCACAGGGTCAGGGCAGAGTCCCTCTGGGGGTGGGGGGTTATTGTTTCCTCTCACTTTGTTGCCACTCAGAGGAGTGGTCTGCCTGAGCAAGATGGCTGCTGCCATAGAGGAGATGAGTCAGCACCAGGATCCCGCTGGCTACTCTCAGTTCTCTTCCCAAAGCTTCCATCTCCAGTCTCTCCTCAAGTGTCTCTAGACCTTTTTGCATCCTCTTTAGCCAGGGATCTCTTATCTGTGGCTGCCACTCTGTACTCAGCTGTCAGGCTTAAGCACTACCAGGCCAGGACAGAGTCCCTACTAGGGGCATGGCTATTGTGTCCTCTCATGCTGCAGGGGAGTGGTCGGCCTGAGCAAGATGGCGGCTGCTGTAAGGGGGAGGAGTCAGCACCAGGATTTCGCCTGCTGTTCCCTCAGTTCTCTCCCCAAAGCCTTCTTCCCCAGTCTCTCCTCAGGCATCTCTAGCCCACTCTGCCCCCTCATTTGCCAGAGCCCAGGGTAAGAGGCTGCAAATAAAAATGTATGTGTTGGCCCTTTCAATGGTTCTCTGTGTCCCGAGCCACCTGTCTCTGGCAGAGAGCAACCCTGCTGCTTTCCGCAGCTGGCTGTTATCTGTGTACTTTTTGAGCTCTGGTGCTGTAGGCTGGAGATCCCAGCTTATGGTTTAGACTCCTCTCTTCTCAAGAGAATCCAACTGTCCATTTAAATATCCCTCTGGCTCTGCCACTCGTAGGTGCTCAGCCTTTCTCAAGTCTCTACCGTACTCACCAGTCAGGTTGTGCCAAAGCTGATTCCTCTGTCTGTCTGGGATTACAAGGCTTCTCTCTCGCTATTTTTCAGTTGTTTTTTCCAGGTTGGAACAAACTTCTCCACAATTTACTAGTAATTCCAGATTGGTCCTTGGAGGAGGTCAGTGTGGCTTCCATTCACTCCTCTGCTATCGTGCCCTCCCCAACATGCAATTTTTATACAAGGAAAGTGGTAACATATGGTATTGGTCACAAGCCTGAGAATTCATGTATGCTCAAGGTTATACCCTTGATAAATATTAAAGGTCTATGTGTTTTTATTACTGCTGGGTTGTAGCAGTATTATCCGTTCTGTAGCATATTGAAATAAATTTTATATCAGTTAATCAGCTAATTTATTTAGACTGAAATAATTTTTTAGTAAAAATACTAGTAAATCTTGCTGGCCCAGTTATTTTGAGACCATTCATTTGTGAATCTCAATTTGCAGACCTAAGTATATGTGAAAGGTGATATTGATCTGGTCCATGAAAACAAATATTTGGCTAAGATATTTTTCTTTAATCTCTAATCTTTATTATTCCAAAATGGATTCATCACATTACAACCATGGAAACAGAGATTTTGTTCCTTTGCAATTAAAATCAGGCTCTTTGGGTTTACTATCTAAGTTGCCTTGAGAACATGCTCCATTTCTTTGTCTACCTAATGTCACTGTCTGATTCTGATGATTTGTTTCTCTTGCAGCTCACATGTCAGACAGCACTGCATGTTTTACAGTTAACAATCAAGGAACCATTTGTTTTGTTGGGAGGTGGCTGTACTGAAACTCACTTGGCAGCATATATCAGACACAAGGTAGGTTTGATAGTCCTTCTCAGATTATCTGAATTCTTAGAAGTAATTTTTTTATGAGATGATAAGCCAAATCATACCTGGAGCCTTTAATACTTAATTTCTCTGTGGTCTAAATCAGATATTGTATTGAAAAACACTTGAGGAAAATAACATTTGCAAATATAAGGTAATACCTTTATCACAGTGATTATTATTAATCTAACCTTTTGCCAAATGATCACATTCTATGTATTGTCTAAATAGTGTATGTTGAAATGAGTATTCTGTTAATGGGAATTGTCATATTAGAGATCTTAGCTGCTGTGGTATAATAGTAATTGATATTCACATGGAAAGTGTTGATATTCTATAAAATACTTCATTACCTGTTGGATCATCAAAAAAAGAATTAATTAATTTTATTTTTTAAAGCATTTCAAGTATTATATTCTATTATAATTTTTAAACTTGTATCCATTTATGATATATATGATTTCTATTAAGTAGAATTTTTTTATTAATCTAGGAAACTCCTAACAATAGATACATTTACTGCATTATAGTTCTAATTAGTTCATAAGTACTGACCTACTTTATTTCAAAGTGGATACAAACAGGTATATGTTTTTGAGATATTTGCAGTTGGTTCTTTGATTGTTCCAGAATGTTATTAAGAGTCTCTGCAGAGCTTCTAGTGGATGACTGGGACTGGAGAGAGTATAAATGTTTTCTACAGACATGTCCCACCTTGATCTCTCAAATAGTTTTAAATCTATCTGATGATAAAGCCCATTCATGAAAAGTTATCAGAATATCTATTATGAAAAACAAAATCAGTGACAAAGAATGCTGAATGGACAATAATATAGTCTGTAAACTGGATGATTGAGTAAGCTAGAAAAAGCTTTTTGGAGGGTGAAGATATCTTGAGTAACATTTTGAAGAAACAATACAGCATTGAAAATATGGGAAAAGAATATGCATTAGAGATTATCTCATCTGGTTCAAACCTCCTGGGTAAGAAATTTTTTCAAAAAGGGTCACTGTTTTTAAGTAGTTAGGTATGAATTTTTAATAGTCATTTCAGTATTAGTTTGCTAGTATAAACTCTTTAGAATGGTGGAACCAAAAAAGCAATTTAAAGTCATATTAATTTTCATTAATTTAAAGAGAAAGAATATTTTTAAAATATTGATGTAAAAATTGCACACATTCCTAAATGGTTTTTGTCTTAATATGTATGTTCTCATTTTTAACAAATCTCAAACATTTTGCTGAATATAAATAAGCACTTCTTTTGGACATTAGTCTTCAGAAACTTCTTCCTATGTTTAAAAACCTATAATGTGAGCATTATGCCTGTTCATATATTATGGAAGCAGTACTGAGCAGTCATTCAGAATAAGTTGATTATGGGATTTATTCTGATTCATTCATTCTGACAATATAACTGATAGCATATATTTTTACTACAAAAAATCTAGGTTAAGGCATTATAGCCTGGCCAGCTGACTCATATATGCCCATTAGCATGTGCCAAACCCCTAAGTAAATTAAAAATAAGTAGTAACTTTATGAATAAGGGTTTGACCAAGTACTCTATTTTTCAGAAACATTTTTATAACACTAATTGCTCTGTTTGTGTTTTTAATTGTCTCCTTACTCTTTAGGCTTTTAATAAGCCAGAAAGCATTCTCGAAGATGGTTGGTGTACTCAAACAGAACTTCAACTAATTACTGAAGCATTTTGCAGCGCACTAGAATCTCTCACTGGCTCTTTAGAACATGACGGAGGTGAAATTCTCACTGACATGAAGTATGGACACTTTTGGTCAGTTCAGGCAGATACTCCCTCTGTTGTTCACTGGCCAGATGTCCTTTCGAGATGTGGTTGTGGACTATACAATAGCCAGGAAGAACTCAACTGGTGTTTCTTAAGGAGTGTTCAGCATCCTTTTGCACCACAACCCTGCCTTCCTCATGAAGATGTGGGCTCAGCCAACAACCTGACTTTGGACTGTTTCACTGCTAAGCTTAGTGGCCTGAAGGTGGCTGTGGAGACAGCCAATTTGATTTTGGATCTTTCACATGTCATTGAAGATAAAAACTGATATAAGAAAATAGTGTGTTTATATTTTTAAAAAAACTAGTCAGGTGTTAATTAAGAATAATATTGAGTATATTTGTTCTCTCCCAAAGGTCTGTTCTTTATTTTTGGATAGATAGCTCACAAAGTTATAGATTTGCTATATAAGGAAAAAGTGTTCTTGAATAGAAATACCATAGAATAATAAAAATGTGAAGCATTATTAAAGACATTGCTATTATCTTTGGGATTTTACAGATAACAATGTATGTTGCTCTAAATTTTTGTTGTTATTTTGACATTATTCTAAGAACATGAAGAAATTTAAAAAATTTCTAATCTGTCTTAGTTTGTGTATACTTATTATAGATACTTTTGTTTGTAAAATTTGATTCCAAAAATATCACAAAGCATCCAGTGCATATTGCTCGATCAAAAGAAGTATTCAAACTGCATATTTAGTAAAATTTCAGTGTTCTTTATCTGAGATTATATTTATTCAGTGTTTAGGTAATTGATGTAGAACCTGATCTACCTGCAGTTGCCAGTTCTTTTCACAGTTCTTCATTTCTGTTATTTTGAGGAAATGTGTGAATAGTAACTAAGCAGCATAGAGAAAAAAAGTGGAAAAGTTTTTTCTCTAATTCAGTCAATGTTGCAAAGAAGAGACTAGAACAACCCTCGTAGTCAAAATAGAGACATTGATGTTTCACCAAGGAATGTAATTAGAATTTTATGCAAATGCAAGGTATATTGATAAATTGAAGAAATACAGAATCCAGCTAAAGGAATCAGTGTGGAACTGTAACAGGTCTTAAATTGACCTTTAGGAAAACACTTTGAAAATTTTTGGAAAACTAACAACCTGAGAATCAATGATTGGGTGTATAGCCATGATAGAGGGAGATATAACTTTTAAGCAATTTTCTCCAGAACTCTTGCTATCCAAAAGAAAATTTAATTTAAGCCAAAGAAAAAATGTCAGTACAGACTCTCAGCAATGCAGTATGTATCGAAAAATCAGCTACAGCTCAAGCTTCATAAAATATTTCTTTAAAATTTTACTTCTTTTATTATTAGAGTCACATAGCAGGGCAGTATGGTAGGCAGCCTCTATGATGGACCCCATAATCCCACCTCCTGGTTTTCAGGCCCCTTGAATGTGGGCTGGATGTAGTGACTTATGTGAGTCTCCATTCCCCCACTTTGTGAACAGGAATGTCTTACTGCTGTTATTCATGCCTGATTCATCATTATTTTTTGGGGGGAGTGTAGGACAGGTTACTTGTCTTATTAACTTCATGGGTCTTCAGGTGGAAAGGAACTGTGCTCCAGGAGCTGTGCTTAAGAATTACAGCTGAGGAACTTCACCGACCCTGATCTGATTTTGGACTTTGAGTTATGTTGCAATGCAATGAGATTTTTGGACACCTGGGAAGGTGTGAATGTATTTCGCATGTAGTCACTAAGATGGCTGCCAGTGATCTCACCTCCTGGTAGTCCATCTTTTGGATATGGGTAGGACCTAATCAATAAATTTTAATGAGTACAATACAGCAGAAGCGATGGGATGTTAGGCTGTAAAAATATAAGCGTCTCTCTTGATCTCTCACTTGCTCACTCTGATGGAGGCCAGCTGCCAAGTTGGGAACTCCCCTGTGGAGAAGCCCATATATGGCAAGGTACTAAGGGAGGCTTTCAGCCAACAGCCCACATGGGACTGAATGTAGAAGTAGATTCTCCCTAGGGGAACCTCAAGATGAGTGTAGCCCCTGCCATTTCTGCCACATGAGAGGCCCTGAAACAGAGGATTTAGATAAGCCATAAAATAATTATCAACATTATGTTGTAATAGAAAATTTGAAAAATATGAATCAGACACATACACACAAACACACAACAAGAAAATAAAGTAAAATGCAGTCCTACCACCCAGAGATAATCACTGTTTACCTTTTTAGTGCATCTTTCCAGTTGGTTTTCTATATAAAAAGAAAAGTAATATTAAAAATATACCACATCTGTCTGGAAAAAACATTGCAGTACAAACTCTCCATTGTTAATATAACAAGGATAATTTGCATGACATTGATGTAACCTGGCAGCCATGGAGGGTGGATTGGAATGTGAATGCATGAACAATGATGACTTCACTTTCCTAGTCAGTGGGAGCAGTAGAAACCATTGAATGAATATGTGTAGTGTGTGACCATCACATTCAAAATGACTGAGCAAGTAGAGCAATGAATCTTCATCAAATTTTGCCTTAAACCTGAACATTCTTTGAGGAAACTATTCACATTATTCAGGAGGCCGCAGCTATGGCAACTGGTGATTGGCAACTTCATCACCACAACATGCCTGCTCATGCATCACATCTCACAGAGTTTTTTGGCAAAACATCAAATCACCCAGGAGACTGAGGCCCACTACAGCCCAGATTTGGTGCCCTGTGACTTCTGGCTTTTCCCAAAACTAAAATCACCTTTGAAAAGGAGGAGATTTCAGACTGTTGATGAGATTCAGGAAAATATGATGGGGCAACTGAAGGCAACTGGGAGAACTGTGTGAGGTCCCAAGGTGCCTACACTGAAGGGGACTAAGGCTTCATCGTCCTATGTACAATGTTTCTTGTACCTTGTGTCTCATTCCATAAATGTCTTTTTCATAGCATGTGGCTGGATACCTTCTGGACAAATTTCATATGTCTCACTGTCTAGATGATCCCTTCCTTGAGGTCAGCGATTGTGCATAAAGCTTTTTTTTAACCTCTAATACTATTGAGTACTGTGTCCAACAAACAAAAAGAGGTCAATTAACATGCCTCGAAATGAAAAGACAACATTTCAAACAAAAACTGCAGGGCTAAAATAGAATGTTAATTATAAATACTTCCTCAATGTGAATTTTTAATAGGAGATTGTTAAGTTGCTTTATATTCCTCTCAACTCACAATATATTAAGGTGCTGGTATTCCACTGCTTTTAGTGCCCCTAAATCTACTAAATTATCTCTCCAACAAAAGTCTTGATCTACACATAGGAATAGTTTTCAGGGATTGCATTCTTTTGTATGAGTATTACTATATACTTAATAAAGAAGCAAATAAATCTACTTGTAATCCAAAGATACAGGCTAACATTGAGTTCAGATACTTCTGAACTCAAATTTTGTAGATGAGTGGCAAAAGTTTCCATGCATTATGGGATACTGTAGTGTTTACTATTTGGAAACACTTAACTACATGAAAAAAATTATAAAGATATCAGATTTTCAAACTTGGCTTTTCCCTTAGATTAAGGGATAGATTTATTTAGACAGCTGAAGCAGGGATCTGTAAGAGATGTTTAGTCTCCTTAACTATACCCCAAAGATTGTCAGAAAGGAATAAAAACTAATTTGATGTTTTGACAGATCCTTCACTGATTATGAAAGTGATTTTTATACTTGATGCACTTAAATAATAACCTGCATGATTTATGTGACTGTGAATATTATTGGTTTATTTTAAGTTATCCAAGGGACAGTTCAACAATGTAAGAATACAGAATATGATGGATCATATAGAGGTACTTATAATTTCTCTTATATCAAGGGAATACCTAACTAGCTTTGGCTATACAAACTAAATGAGTCAAGGGTACCTATGATAATAAAAGATACTAGCAATATGTAACTGAAATATCCTGTGGAAAATACTTCAGTAATAGTTCATTTAAAATGTCTAACATATAAAGATGCTCTACTATATGTACAAATGGAAGAATTAAGGAAGTGGGGATATTTATAAGACCAAGTAAGTATTTTGGCTTAAAAGACTCTTGAATTCATATTAGTTGTTGAATTTTTCCATGCTGCCAAAATCCCAGCCTCTTGATAAATAAGATGCTAATCCTGCTGGACTCCTATGGTTCAATAAATGTTAATGCTATATGTCCTGTGAGTCCCACAAAAGTATTGACCAGCTGTCAGTGACTTAATTCTCTTCTGCATTATATTCCCTTTCCTTTTGTGCAGCTATCAGGGTTTCCCGTTCTGTCTCCCAAGGAACCTCATAATACAATATTCAGACCTCAATCTTGCTTTAAGTCACAAAACAGTGCCCGAGGCTTAACTTAGTTGCAGTTTTTTCTTGTCATTTGCTTTTGTCAAATGAGCTCCTCTGAAATTATTTTCATGATTTTTCATCTCGTATTTTACCATCTAAGTTTGAATAATGATTTTCTTAAACTGTTAAGGAAGTGATTTTAAAAATTATTTACAGCTACAGTATAGGGAGTATAGTTGATAATATTGTAATAAGTATGCATGGTGGCAGCTATGTACTGGAAGTATCATGAGGAACACTTTGTAAAGTATATGATTATCTAACCACTATGCTGTGCATCTAAAACTCATACAAAATAATACTGAATGTAGACTGTAAGTGATAAGTTTTTTTAAACTACAAAAGCAATGTCTGTTTAAAAAAATTATTTACAGTGTTTTCTGGTAAGGATTATACACAACTTCAGGAAACACAAAAATATAAAGCACTTCAACATGATGGAGGTGAAATTCTCACTGACATGTACTATGGACACTTTGGTCAGTTCAGGCAGATTCTCCCTCTGTTGCTAACTGGCCAGATTTGCTTTAAAGACGTGGCTGTGGACTATAAAATAGCCTGGAACAACTCAACTGGTGTGTTGCTTTATAATCTGTGTCTTTTACCTAATATGTCATGAACATCATAAATATCTACAGTCATTACACATTCTACTCCTACATTTTTAATGCCTGAAGAAATTTCATTTGTAGAGATCATACCATAATTTAGTCAATGAACTTTTATTAGTATACCCTTAGGCTGTTTTTAATTTTTGCATTTATATAAACAAAAAATCAGTGAACATCATATATATGTCCCTTTCCCACAGCCCTTGATATTTCCTCAGGATGAATAAATGAAATTAAGATTTCTGAGTCCAAGTGTATTTAAAATGGAAAAGCTATTATATGTATATATCATCTGTCTTCCAGAAATGTTGAATCAATATAGTCCAACCACAGTGTGTGAAAGTGTTCATTTTCCTGAACTTTGGCCAAAACTAGTTATTGCGTTTTGCCAATATAATAGCTGAAAATAGGCTTCTTTTATAATTTGCATTTTTTAAATTATTAGTAAGGTAAATACATTTTCACACATTGTTGTCTATGTATTCCTTCTTTAGTCAAATGCTTCTTAATAGGCTCTCTAAGTTTTCTATCAGAAGTTCATCTTTCTAACATACTATATTTTTATGTTTATTTTTTATATACATTATTAAATATATGTACATATTAGAGAGGTGAATTTTTGA